TGCAATGCGAGCTTCGCAAGTTGCGCATGCGCATGCGAAAAAAGCAAAAACATGCTTCTTCCATTGCTGCATTACAAACTTGTGCAACCACAAAAGTAGAAGATGCACTCCGTCCACCTCTACGATCTCATGTCATAGTACCGATGTTCGCCGGCCGACTATCCTGAGTAAAAACGTCCCCACCCCATAGTCAAGTTGTGAACTCTACTGCAACACAAATCTAGGAGTTTTGGAAGCCATGCGTGACAAGTTCGTCTTTGTAGTGTAGTGCAGGTTAGGAAGGATGGTCGCATGACAAACTCATCTCCTCATCCTGTTTACAGGGTTACAAATGCCAAAACACGATTGGAAATGCCTCTGATGTAGATGCGCATGTACCAGGCTCTAATTTACGGCCTTGAACGTTCTCCGGAGGAAAATTTCAATGCCGTAAAATAGAGCCTGGGGATGACTTGCTATTGCAGAAGCCGGAAAAGCTGCGTGGAGGCAATAAACCTGTTCCCAGGCTCTAATTTACGGCCTTGAACTTTCCCCGGAGGGAAAGTTCAATGCCGTAAAATAGAGCCTGGGAAGGACTTGCTATTGCAGCAACCGGAGAAGCTGCGTGGAGGCAAGAAACCTGTTCCCAGGCTCTAATTTACGGCCTTGAACTTTCCCCGGAGGGAAAGTTCAATGCCGTAAAATAGCGCCTGGGGAGGACTTGCTATTGCAGCAGCCGGAAAAGCTGCGTGGAGGCAAGAAACCTGTTCCCAGGCTCTAATTTCGGGCAAAGTTCAAGGCCGTAAATTAGAGCCTGGGGAGGACTTGCTATTGCAGCAACCGGAAAAGCTGCGTGGAGGCAAGAAACCTGTTCCCAGGCTCTAATTTACGGCCTTGAACTTTCTCCGGAGGGAAAGTTCAATGCCGTAAAATAGAGCCTGGGGAGGACTTGCTATTGCAGCAACCGGAAAAGCTGCGTGGAGGCAAGAAACCTGTTCCCAGGCTCTAATTTACGGCCTTGAACTTTCTCCGGAGGGAAAGTTCAATGCCGTAAAATAGAGCCTGGGGAGGACTTGCTATTGCAGCAACCGGAAAAGCTGCGTGGAGGCAAGAAACCTGTTCCCAGGCTCTAATTTACGGCCTTGAACTTTCTCCGGAGGGAAAGTTCAATGCCGTAAAATAGAGCCTGGGGAGGACTTGCTATTGCAGCAACCGGAAAAGCTGCGTGGAGGCAAGAAACCTGTTCCCAGGCTCTAATTTACGGCCTTGAACTTTCTCCGGAGGGAAAGTTCAATGCCGTAAAATAGAGCCTGGGGAGGACTTGCTATTGCAGCAACCGGAAAAGCTGCGTGGAGGCAAGAAACCTGTTCCCAGGCTCTAATTTACGGCCTTGAACTTTCTCCGGAGGGAAAGTTCAATGCCGTAAAATAGAGCCTGGGGAGGACTTGCTATTGCAGCAACCGGAAAAGCTGCGTGGAGGCAAGAAACCTGTTCCCAGGCTCTAATTTACGGCCTTGAACTTTCTCCGGAGGGAAAGTTCAATGCCGTAAAATAGAGCCTGGGGAGGACTTGCTATTGCAGCAACCGGAAAAGCTGCGTGGAGGCAAGAAACCTGTTCCCAGGCTCTAATTTACGGCCTTGAACTTTCTCCGGAGGGAAAGTTCAATGCCGTAAAATAGAGCCTGGGGAGGACTTGCTATTGCAGCAACCGGAGAAGCTGCGTGGAGGCAAGAAACCTGTTTACAAATGTTCCTGGCATTGCAAAACTTGGGTGGGGACGTTCTTGCTCAGGATACCGACAGGCGAAGTGACCTGGCTCTGTTCACCTGGGATTGATTGTCGATTTTTTTTCATTTTTATATTGCTGATTGTGCCTGACAAAGGTGATCTTGCACTGTAAGATTTCCCATGACAAATTTTCGAATCGTATATCAAAGTGAAATACGAGTACGTGCGTGCTGTTGCTGCACCAGCAGGTTGACGTCCTCCGCCCGCACTCGTCTTTGTCGTTCGGAAAAGATGAATTTCGGTACCGACATGGATTTGTCATGCGGTTCTGATGCTCTTTGAAAATTTGTCATGCTGTCTTGAATTCTAAACTTGACGGTCGCTCACGCTCAGCGAGGCACGACATGAAAGCAAAATCTCTCTAGTCCATCGGTATCTGTACAAAGAAGCCTGGGAGGTTCCGGCAGCTTACACGCAGCCACTCTGTTTCATGAACAAACAGGGCACGCATTCCTGCTGACAAGAGATATTAAAGAGCAAAAGTAAAAACTAAGTAGCAAATCCAAACTCGACGGTCGGTACCAAAAATCTTTCACCGATTCATATTTTGCTCCGCTTCTTTTCGTATTCTTCCGCCTGCCTGCGCTTCTCCGCAATTCGCGTCTTCTCCTCCTGTATGCATTGCAAACATGCCTGGGTCGGGAAACTTGTATATGCTGGTTTGAGAATGGTGGGCGTACAACTGCAGAACGCAGCTACGCGTGACAAGTTTCCCGGCTCCTTTGTGTTTCGCTTTCTGCATGACAAACTGCGCTTTTGCATGACAGGCAAGAGGCTTTTACTTTCCTGCCCATGCATTACAGACTCAACTCCCATGTGAGACAAGCATAACAAACCTGCATTCTTCCAGACCCAGACATTTTTGCAATGCGTAGCCTGCCATTTCCTCGCCACTAGCCGGTCCTGTTCCGCGTGCGCACGCCGGGTTTCTTATTCCGAGTAAAAACGTCCCCAGCCCAGACTTGTGCAAAGTTCCTCATGCGAAGCCCCGTGAGAAGCTTTTCCTAGTCGTTTTTGGTATTTGTGATGCTAGAAATGGCATGATATGCGAAATCTGTGATGCTGCTAAACTCGCTAAACAGGATTACACTAATAAGTAGGATCGAAACTTGTCATGCGAAACAACCAAAGCTGTTTGATTTGTCTAGCAGATTTCCCATCTTGACTTTGGTGTGGGGACGTTTTTCTTTTTGATATTTCTTCCAGATGTTTGCTTTCGTGATTATCTTCGCCGGAAGACTCAGCGGCACCCTTGCTCCCTGCAGCAACCGATATCTCCGGGGGTTCGCGCAGGTAGGACCGCGATTCCGGCGAGCTCGGGTGAATTAGTTTGTTGGGCGAGAACAAGTTCTGCCGCGGACTGTTTCTTGTCGTGATTTTTACCGCAGACTTGTTTCGCGCTGGCGGGCTATTGTTTCTAGTTGAAAATAACACCGATGAGACAACTGGTCTTGCCGGAGGTGATTGTTGTGTCACGCAGATCTGCTCGCCGTAGGGGAGGGTGTAGAGTTCGCGTTTATAACAGTTTTCCTGCTGCGTCGAACTAACTCCCCTGGGTGGAGCTGAAGACGGCGCGTGCATTGGAGAATTCGCCCCTCGAAGCTGTGGTGAAGAAACAAACCGAGCGCCGTCGTGCCCACTGTCTTGTATCAAATGCAAAAGTGTCTGGGTCTGGAAGGTTGGAACTTGTGATGCTAACTTTGGATGCTAAAAAAATCTGTATTGCGTGACCAGCAAGAGGAGCCCAGTTTGTGCTACGTGGGGAGGGCATTTGTCATGCGGGATAGGCATCAGGAAGGCCTCTAAAAATATGTGATGCTAGGTCATGCATATACAGACATCCTGAGTCATGCAAAATATGCATGACAAACCTGGCAACCTTCCAGACCCAGACATTTTTGCATTTGATATCTTGATTGTCGAAGCAAAGCGGATCACCGGGTGGACAAGTAGGGGACAAAGTAGTCCTCGTTGTGTCGTTGTACTCGTCCCCTGGCGTTCGTTTTCCATAGCTGCTAGTACCTGTCCTCACCGCTCTTTCACTGTCTTTCCGGAGCAGCTCTTTCAGGAACGAGTCCGGGTTGGGGAATTGGGCGTGGCACTCCAGCGGCTTGTCGTCCTCGTATTCCGGGTTGTTCGTAGTCGTAGAACAAGAGATCGGCTTTTTCATACTGCTGCCCGTTGTAGTCCCAACCGCTTGGTGTTCCTTCTTCCCCCGAACACTCGGGCTGCTTCCACCTGTCTTACTCGTCGTTTTGATGTTCTGCAATTCCTTCAGAATATCCGCATACCGCTTTATCGGCTGGGCTGATTTGTAATGCGGTTTCGCACCGACTATATTTACATCCGCGCTTCCTCTTGCAGAAGAAGAAGAAGAAGATAACGCCGGAGAATGTGATGTTGTACCATCTTCACAAACCTCCACGTCCTGTGGATTGCCGGCGAGCTGTAATATGTGCTGCTTCATCTCCACTACTCTCGTCGGTGCCGCGGTGGAAGATTTGTCATGCGGTTCCTGCTTCACAATTCCGACGCCTTGATTCCCATCTTCTCGCACCCCCACCGCGAGTTTGTCATGCGGCTCGCGCTTTATAGATGGTGCTTCTCCTCGTCCTGCCTGCTCTTCTAAAATAATTTTCGGCTTCCGCTTTTGTTCCTTCGCCCAGAAGGATTGAAAGTCCGCGGCGAAATCAGGATCATCCTCTAACCCAAACTCCGTTTCCAAATCCCGTTGCCTCGTCGGAGAGAGCGAATACAGGGGTGGCTTGCGCCGCTTGCTCGGACTGGAGCTGCTGGGGGAAGTACGGGATTTTTTGGTTCCGGAGGAGGAAAGCACCGGCGTGAGGTCGAGGAGACGGTGCATCGTCGCGGTTTCCTGCCGTGGCCAGCAAATAATTTACCGGTATATTTCTACCAATAGTGCGACTCACCTCGCAACACACCAGCAGCCTCACCTCGGCGGTTCCTAGCAAAGACATCATGTCGCTGCCCCATCTTGAAGATTCTTTTTGCAGCAGCTCCTAGGTTTAGTAGATACATGTAGTTCATCATTTGATTTTAGCGACCTGTTTCCTCGCACGCTCCGCGCTCAGCAAGAAAAAAAAAGACCTCTCAAAACACAGCGTAGTTGCTCCGCAGAAAAAAAACCTGAGTGTCATCCTACTTTTGTGAACAATTTCGTGGTTCTTGTGCAGCTGCTGCACCTCCTCGTGCAACGATTCGTTTCTCAACAGATTTGCGTCGTTTTCGTGCAAAAATGCGATCATGGTTCACAGTCACTTTCAGTACTTTATCCGCGTTCTTGGTTGTAGCGCTTATCAGAATAATGCTGTTCGACGGTTCTTCGTCTGCTCTCCCGCAAGGAGCTATTCACTATGGTCTCGCGGGGCGGGTTGTAAAAGATATTGAAGTGAAAGTCCGTATCTAGAAGCTAGTGTTGTCCTCTATGCTTTTTCATCAGTACGTCAACTTCTGAACAGGTAAATGCCCTGCGTCCCCGAGCAGGCGCACTGACACGTAACCGTCATGATCTAGCGAAATCCACACGACAGATGCGTTATGAACTCCAAAAGTACTATCGTACTCGTATAAATGCATTACAAATTTCCTCAGCATGAGAAATAAAATTTGTTATGCAGATTTGCCTTGGAAACAAGATTTGTAATGCACGATTTGCATCTATACGAGTACGATACTTTTGCAAAGGATATGCGTGCGCCACGCTCAACCGCAGCCACGCGCGTTCGTCGAGTTGCAGTGCGCGGAGGACTATTAAATGGAAAAATGTCTGAGTCTGGAAACTTGTGATGCAAGTCAGTCAATATACAAATGAACTGTAATGCGCCGCCAAGCATGACAAGTTGCTTCGTGCTTCTGTGCTGCGTATTCCGCATGAGAAACTGCGTTTTTGCATGACAGGCGAGAGAGGCTGTTTGTGGCCACGCAATACAGATTTAAGGGCCATGCCAGATCAGCATGACAAATCTCGCAATCTTCCAGACCCAGACATTTTTACGTTTGATAAGGACGAAATACCGGATCACGTTGGCGTGGCAGAAGTAGATGTTGGTCGAAATGTGCTCGATGTTGGTCCCTTGCGGCACGCGGAAGATCTGGTTAAACGCCCCGCGGATCCGGTCCTGACTGGTTTTGTTGGTCGTACTACGCTTCCCGTGCTGAGGATCGGGGTCGGGGATGCACGGAAGGCCCTCTGCGATATCCGCGTTTGTTTCCGCACTGAGTCGGAGAGAATCCGCTACCTCGGCGGCCTCCGCGCTGAGTTCCGATGAGTCCTCGTTGCTTCCTGGAGAATTATTTCGCGCTGCTGCCGACGACCCATTGTTGAGTAGAGTGTGCAGCCCACCACCGCCACCAGATCTGTTATTCCCGTCATGGTTTTGTTCTCTATTCGCGACGATTTTCTGGTGCTGCATGAGTTTCTCGACTAGATTCCCCATCTTCTCATTCATCACCCTGGTGGCAATGTCGGCGGTCTGCGTCGCGCGGGTGAGTGAAGACTGGAAGCACTTAATCGTGCAATTCGGCCTGCGAATCGGGAATAGCCCGTCCGCGGAAAGGAGGTCGAAAAGCCGCTCGCCGGTGAGCCTTGCCTGCTCCTCACCGAGCTTGGTCAGGGTGCGGCCGTCGTCTTGGAGGGCCCGCGTGTGGTACTGACCGTGGCGAACCTACTTTGACAGAGAGGTTTAATATTTCTCATGCCGTCGCAGTATGGGTATAATTTTCGGATTTGTCATGCGAGGGTGCTGTCCTACAATTTTTTCTATAACGCCAAAGTCGTGTATGATGCGTTTCTCAACGGCATATCGTATACCAGAATGATCTCTTTCCGCCCGATATCCAGCACCAATTCCTCGTCGTTTGGCACGCTCCACCTCGTTGGATCCCAGTCGAAGACGTACTTGGGCTGCTCCAACGCCGTTTTCAGTTTCTCGTAATTGCTGTCCACAATCTTGTCGTAGGTAAAGTACGCCAGGCCCATGCCCAGGGCTAGTGTTGCGGCTAAGGATTTGGCTGTGTTGTTAGAAGAGGATGAAGACGTAGATGTTGACGGACCAGTCGGACTCGCACTTTGTGTGCTCGACGAAGTAGTTGCTCCAGCAGCAGACGACCCCGAAGTCGCTGCATCCGAAGCGGTCGAACTGAAAGTGCGCGATGAAGAAGAAGAAGCCCTTCTTGTTGCACATGGCAAAGGACCACCTCCCTTTGGCACCACGTTTCTCCTGTAGCAGGAGTTCACGAAAAACCGGCAGGGCCTGAGGCGGTACCCGTGAAGATTCCGCATGTTGGAGGCCCGCGATGCGGCTACATGGGTTCGTCTTTGGAGGGTAAAAGCAAGACGCCCGTCCGGGGTGCCTGGGCCTGCAATGGTCGTCGTGTGTGAGGCACAGAGGGCTACATGGCGCCTCATGGGCTCTATGTTACGAAAAGGACGCTTCAGCGACAACATCTTGCGTGGCTCTAAGTTGTCTCTAGTCCAGTTCAGCGGCCGGAGAAAAATGTTGGTAAATTTCACAAATTTCGGTAAATTTGTTTCGACCCTTTCTTCCTCTTCTAACGCGCACAGGTTGAACAAAATGTCTTGTGCGGGATATCGTTGGTTCATTTCTGTAGACAATGCTGCACCTCGAAGAGAACTAATACCCTGTGTCGGGGTCTTGAAAAAATGCTTTGTGTACAGTTTCGAAACCATTTCGCTGCACCTATGTGCCGGAAAAAAACGAAAAGTGAACACTTTCACGACTTCGTAGTTGCGTTTTTTGCCCATGCCGAGGGACATGCGCAACGAGAAGATGCCGTAGCTCGGGACCGAGAAATCACGCAAAAAAAGGTCCTCCGCACGATGTGCACCAAAATCGACCCAAACTAGTCACACTTCCCTTCCGAAAAAACTAATTGTCCCGATATCGGGACAATTAGTTTTTTCAGAAGCCAAATAGGCTTCGTGTCATGCGATTTTGGTGCAGTATGAGGCAACCCAGGTCGAAGCTGCCGCGAGTCCCGGGGCGCGGAGGTGGGATGCTATGAGCATCACAAAACTCCCTTTCCCCCGATGGAATGCTGCTGTTCTGACAGCTGCAAAACCATTCCCAAAAACTAATTGTCCCGATATCGGGACAATTAGTTTTTTCAGAAGCCAAATAGGCTTCGCGCCATGCGATTTTGGTGCAGTATGAGGCAACCCAGGTCGAAGCTGCCGCGAGTCCCGGGGCGCGGAGGTGGGATGCTATGAGCCTCACAAGTTGCCCCTTCCCCCGATGGAGTGCTGCTGCTCTGACAGCTGCACAGCCGTTCCCGAAAACTAATTGTCCCGATATCGGGACAATTAGTTTTTTCAGAAGCCAAATCGGCTTCGTGTCATGCGATTTTGGTGCAGTATGAGGCAACCCAGGTCGAAGCTGCCGCGACTCCCGGGGCGCGGAGGTGTGATGCTATGAGCATCACAAAATTCCCCCTTCCCCGATGGAATGCTGCTGTTCTGACAGCTGCAAAACCGTGCCCGAAAACTAAATGTCCCGATATCGGGACAATTAGTTTTTTCAGAAGCCAAATGGGCTTCCTGTCGTGCGATTTTGGTGCAGTGTGAGGCAACGCTGCCGCCCTGACGAGGAACGCGTCCTGTCACGACGACGACCAGATGCACGTACTTATTTCTGTCAGCACGTGCCGGTTTGATTCAAAAAGTAAAGTGAAGACCAAAATCTACTACTCGCATCATCTTTTCAAGTTCCACTTCATTCGCGTGTCTGTATCTTTGTGTCTTGTTTTCACGACGTGGTTGGAAGACCTGGTTTTAACACTACCGGTTCAGCGCGCAAAACGCGCACTGGTGCTGGCTAGAGCAAAAGAAGAAGATAAGACTACTAGTAGCCGCTAAGAAGTACTTTCCCGCTTGGCTTGGTAGCGTAACAAAACGTGCGGTAAGGAGGTAACATATTCAGCTGAAATTCTCTTTCAATCATTTTTCTTCCGCCGCTCCAACAGGACCAAGACATCCTGGAGGCAAAGTGGGCACTTTCGGTTATCAAATGCAAGAATGTCTGGATCTGGAAGAATGCAGACTTGTCATGCATATTTTGTATGATGGTTGATGCCTCTAATGCATGATCTAGCAACACAGATTTTTAGAGGGCTTCCTAATGCCTATTCCGCATGAGAAATGCCCTCTCCACGTAACACAAACTGGGCTCCTGTTGCTGGTCACGCAATACAAATTTTTTTGGAATCCAAAGACAGCATTACAAGTTGGAATCTTCCAAACCCAGACATTTTTGCAATCCATATCGGTTCTTCTTCAGCCATTTATCGATGCAGGGTTGGTGGAAGATGTGCGCACACGGGAGCGTCCGCACGATGTCGCCGTCCGCAAATTCCGACAAGCACACCGCGCACGTGTCGTGGTTTAGCTGCGGAGGTTATGAAATGCAAAAATGTCTGGGTCTGGAAGAATGCAACTTGTAATGCTGTCTCTGGATTCCAAAAAAATCTGTATTGCATGACCAGCAACAGGACTCCTGTTTGTGTTTCGCGGAGAGGGTATTTTTCATGCGGAATAGGCATTAGGGAGCCCTCTAAAAATCTGCGTTGCTAGTTCATGCATTAGAGGCATTAATCATCACACAAAATATGCATGACAAGTCTGCATTCTTCCAGACCCAGACATTTTTGCATTTGATAGAGGTGTGTTACTACCTGCCGTAGAGGATTTCCCGGAGGATTCATCTTGTTTTCCTGTCTCAGTGTTACTAGTACTTTCTGCTCTCCTCTCCGACGCCGTATTGTCTACCTGACTTGATTTTTCTGCGACAGCAGCACCTGTTGCTTTTGACGACGTGATGTCATCTGGTGAGGAGGGAGCGGTGGTGGTTTTGGTTGTGGTAGACGTGGTCCCCGCCGGCTCCACTGCTCCAGCCCCTGCGAGTTGTACCAGGTCTGTCGATGTAGAAGTCGTAGTACTTGATGACTTTGTCGCACCAGCAGGTTCAATATTTTGCACTTCCGCTGCATGTTCTTGTTCCTTCTGCCCGTTGCTGCCTTGTCGCTGCTCGTCCACTGCTGATCTGCCGACCCCCGAGTCCTCGTCTGCTCGGCCGTTTACGGCGGCTGTTGGGGTTTTTGGAGTTCGCTGGACCTTTTCTCCGGTCGTCTCGGTGACTTGCAGCTCTTGATCCGTCGTCGCGGAGTTGGGTTTATTCACACACCCTTTTGTACGATCCGATTCGGTACTGGAGTTATCGCTACCCGAGGACGTCGACGACGTTGCTGCCTCTGCAGTAGAACCGCTCGCTGATGAAGACGTCGTGTATTTCCACTGACCGAGCATTTCCAGTTGCTCATCCGTGATGCCGACCGGCCGCTGGGGTCTCTGGAGGAAGCCGAGGTTCATCAATCTCGGGCGGATGGGAAAGCACTGGTAGAAGCAGACGAGAGAGTATGCGAGGGCGAAAGTTCCTCTAGTTGGAGTGATCGGTTGTTCTTCACACAAGTTTTTCATGCGAGAATGCCTACTCCATTATGCCTCGAACCCGATTGTCCATTTGCAACGCTGAACATGCATGACAAACTTCGGAACCTTACTATACTAGAGATGAACTAGTGGTGCACAGTTTTGATATCGTCACCAGCAGCCGGATAATCGCGGTAAGAATGACAGCGATCACCAACCTGTCGTTCATTTTCGTTTCTGAACTCGCAACACAAATTCATTGTCAGTCCTATGCGCATGGTGCATGACAAACAAAATTGTAGCTGCCTGATGGAGGGGATGATGCTTTCGACAGTTAACGTATTTTTCCGCATAACACATCCAACGTATTTTTCACACTATACCTGTACAAGCCCGGACACTGGGGGCAATGCGAGCTGTTCAGCACCCACACTAAACCCAGGGAGGTATAGACTTTCAATGAAGAACTGAATTTTGTGATGCTTGTGATGGTATTCCTGTTCAGGAAGCTACAACGATACGTCACAGGAGCTGTAGTGTAACTGCTACTATGCATGACAAACAGCTGCACAAATCGAGTAGTTCTTCACACGCATTCCATACACGAACCAGAGGTATGTCGCGATAGAGATGAGCTTCGACATTTTCCACGCCCGCTATGAGAGTGCGCAACCCCCCTTGATCCTCATTTGTATAGCATGAACAGGAATACAAGCATCAGCAAGAGTGCCGGTTTTGCATGACAAATTTGCACCAGAGAAGTGTAGTGCTGCAATTTGGGCTACCAGAATCTGTCATGTAAAGAGTGCCAAGACGCAAGGTGTGGATCTGGTACTTTGCATGACAAATAAGGGGGAGGGGGAGTTGTGCATCGTCGTACCCGCGCGGAAGTTAGCCTCCGAACCAATTGCTGGGGTATGAGGTTGAAACAGAATGATCATAATAAGCGACGCGGAAAGGGAAATTCGGAATGCGTTGTAGCGCATGACAAATGTTGTAATCGTGCTAAAATCCGCATCACAAACACAAATTTCCGATTAGTATATCACTCAGTTTCATCATCATATCCAACCGCCCAGGGTCGCTACCAGCGCGTTCCTCCGCCATAATGGAATAGCAGAAAACGACGCGGACCTGATGGTTCAATTGCAGAATATAACGCACAATTTGCGCTTCGCTACTTGCTGTACATTCATTTTCGCTTGCTTCTAAAAATTTTTTTTCATCAAAAACTACACCACTGGCCAAAATACCGGCGTTTGGAACACGAGCAGGCAGGTATCGAAAGGAAGAGTCCCCCCTCACCATATCAAAACGAAATTTCTCGTGCTGGATTTGTGTACAAAAATCCGCGCTGTCTTGCTGGAGAGCCCTGAAGGCCCGCATCAATTGCGAGGAGCGAGGTTCTGGCTTAGGCACTTAGCAGGAAAAACATCCGCGCTGTAGGCCCAACAGCATGACAAGCCGCCTGCGTAATGCGGCGGAGCCTGCGGACTTGCCTTCTTGCAAGACAGACACGATTTGTCACCACAAATCAGCATCACAAATTTCCAAAAATGTACTTTTTCTGTATGAAAAGGGGGAATTTTTCCTATTGATAGCAGGTGTGTATCAGGATCCAGTAGTGCAGCGGCCGGTTGCACTCCGAGCAGCGGCTCCAGTAGAGCAGTAGGAAGGCCTATCCCAGGAGAAAAGTGTTACAGTTACACATTTGTAATCAATTCAGCAACACAAATTTCTCTGCATAAGTAGAGAGAAAACTTGTAATGCAGAAATTCTACGGGAAAACACCTATGAAACGCGGCTTCTATGCGTATCCGGCATGACAGAGCTGGTCTGTCTTGCTTGGCCTGCAACACAATGTGTAACTGTAACACTTTTTTCTTGCGATAAGGCCGTGCATGGGACGGACACCAAAACGCCCGTGACGTATCCTGAGTAAAAACGTCCCCACATCACCAGAGTCAAGAAGGGGATTTTGCAACACAAACCTAGGAGTTTTGGGAGTCACGCATGACAACCTTCAGTCCGTAAGGTAGTGCAGTCTCGCACGTGCAGCCACATCACAAAGCCATCTACTCATCCTGTTTACAGTATTACAAAGTCCAAAACACGATTGAAAATGCCTCTCATGGGGGTGCACATTACAAATCTTCCTGTGATTGCAAATCTGCATGACAACTATGGGGTGGGGACGTTTTTACTCAGGATATGACGGAACCGAAAATCATCGCGATTTTGATGAACCTATGCATTACAACTCTGTCTGGGTCTGGAAGGTTGGAACTTGTCATGCTGGTGTCTTTCGATTCTAGAAAAAGCTGGATTGCATGACCAGCAAGAGGAGTCCAGCGCGTGCTACGCGGAGGGTGTATTTCTCATGCGGAATCGGTAACTACAGGAAGCGTTCTAAAAATCTGTGATGCTGGGGCATTCATTACAGGCATCATGGGTCATGCAAATCACGCATGACAAACCTTGAAATCTTCCCGACCCAGACGTATTTGCACTGCATAGAACCAGACGGCCTGATTCGGGAACTGGTGCACGATGTCTACTAGCGGGTCCGCGGCAGCGTCGTTGAGCGGAGGGCAGTATGGATTGCAAATATCCCCGGATCATGTGTGGAAGGATGCAGGGTGTCATGCGAAGTCTTGACCACATCAAAAATCTGTAACGCACAAACGCTAGATAAAGCTGTGATCATGCTTCTGGCGACATCGCATTCCAGACCATGTGCGTGGTCCGTGAGGTGCATGGCAATTCTTGAAATCTTCCACATATCAAATGCAAAAATGTCTGGGTCTGAATGGTTGGAAGTTGTAATGCTAGCTTTCTGTGCTGCATAACCAACAGAAGTCGCAGCCTCTTTTGTACATGCAAAAACGCAGTTCCTGATGCGGATTGCGTATGAGAAAGCGCTCTGGAAAGTTGTCATGCTGGGTTGCATTCGGAACTGTTTCCATCATCCACATTTTAGCATCACAAGTTTCCAGACCCAGACATTTTTACATTTGATACCACACCCGAGACACTGATTTTCACTTGATAGCCGCGGCGCGAGGTTCGGGTCCTGCGGTTGGGCGGAATATCCCACATGAAAAGAGCACAGCCTATTTTCGTATACACTTTCCCCACTACAAAATGGATTTCAAAATGAACCTACTATGGTCATGGTTGCACAAATTGAATACGCGCTAGATGTAGATGTCTTCGGGCAGTACCATTTCTCATCCTCACAAAATGGAGCCCGAAATGAACCTAAGTAATTCGCCCGTGGTTCCACAAATTAAGAAGAAGCACACAGCCATCCGCGTGAGCGGGAAAAGAGGCCTCTGAATGAACCTAACTCGCTCGTACTTCCAAAAATTGGAGGCACGGCATTCTTAGACTCCATTCTTGCCTCCCTCGGGCCCGAAAAAAAGGACCCCAAAAGAACCTAAGCCGGTCGTGGTTCCACAAATTGAAAGCGCGTTTCTTTCGAAACGCTCGAAGGCGCTTCTCTTACCCTTCAAAAAATGGAGCCAGAAATGAACCTAATTTGCCCGTGGTTCCACAAAAAGGCAGTGCGGCTTTGGGCGGATTCTCCTATTCGCGGGCCCGGGAAAATAGGACCCGAAATGAACCCAACTCCCTTGTGGTTCCAGAAATTGCCACTGCAGATTTCTTTCCCCCTTTCTTCCAGCCCCAGGGCCCGGAAAAGACGACCCCAAAAGAACCTAATCCGGTCGTGGTTCCACAAATTAAAAGCGTGGCATTCCGAATGCGCCTCATCCCGCGGCCCTGGGAAAATAAGACCTCGAACGAAGGTAATTCGCTCGTGGTTCCATAAATATAAATTAGAATTGCTGCTTTTCAAGCATCGTTCTTCCATCCCCCAGGCCTGGAAAAAAGACCCGGAAAAGAACCTAAGCCGGTCGTGGTTCCACAAATTGAAAGCGCGTTTCTTTCGAAACGCTCGAAGGCGCTTCTGTTCCCCTTCAAAAAATGGAGCCAGAGCGAACCTAATTTGCCCGTGGTTCCACAAATTGGCAATGCGGCTTTGAGTGGATTCTTCTATTTGCGGGCCCGGGAAAATAGGACCCGAAATGAACCCAACTCCCTCGTGGTTCCACAAATTGCCACTGCAGATTTCTTTGCCCCTTTCTTCCAGCCTCAGGGCCCGGAAAAGAGGACCCCAAAAGAACCTATTCCGGTCGTGGTTCCACAAATTAAAGACGTGGCATTTCGAATGCGCCTCATCCCGCGGCCCGGGGAAAATAAGATATCGGACGAAACTACTTCGCTCGTGGTTCCACAAATTAGAATTGCTGCTTTTCAAGCATCGGTCCTCCATCCCGCAGGCCTGGAAAAAAGGCCCGGAAAAGAACCTAAGCCGGTCGTGGTTCCACAAATTGAAAGCGCGTTTCTTTTGAAACGCTCGAAGGCGCTTCTCTTACCCTTCAAAAAATGGAGCCAGATATGAACCTAGTTTGCCCGTGGTTCCACAAATTGGCAGTGCGGCTTTGGGTGGATTCTCCTATTCGCGGGCCCGGGAAAATAGGACCCGAAATGAACCCAACTCCCTCGTGGTTCCACAAATTGCCACTGCAGATTTCTTTGGCCCTTTCTTCCAGCCCCAGGGCCCGGAAAAGAGGGCCCCAAAAGAACCTAATCCGGTCGTGGTTCCACAAATTAAAGACGTGGCATTTCGAATGCGCCTCATCCCGCGGCCCTGGGAAAATAAGACCTCGAACGAAGCTAATTCGCTCGTGGTTCCACAAATTAGAATTGCTGCTTTTCAAGCATCGGTCTTCCATCCCGCAGGCCTGGAAAAAAGGCCCGGAAAATAACCTAAGCCGGTCGCGGTTCCACAAATTGAAAGCGCGTTTCTTTCGAAGCGCTCGAAGGTGCTTCTCTGACCCTTCAGAAACTGTAGCCCGAAATGAACCTAATTCGCCCGCGGTTCCACAAATTAGAAGCGCACAGCCATCCGCGGGCGCGGGAAAATGTGGCCCCAAATGAGCCTAATTCGCTCGTCGTTCCACAAATTTGCAGTGCTGCTTTCTTCAGCCTCATTCTTACCTTTTTCGGGCCCGGAAAACAGGACACCAAGAGAACCTAATTTGCTCGTGGTTCCACAAAATAAAAACGCGCTGTTTTTTAAATGCTTCCGAAGCACTTAGTCTACCTCTCACAAAATGGAACCGGAAACGAACCTAATTCGGTCGTGGTTCCACAAATTGGCAGTTCGATTTAAGGCCACACCGGCATCCGCGTGAGCGGAAAAAGAGGCCTCTGCTTGAACCTAATTCGCCCGTGGTTCCACAAATTGGGAGCGCTCCTTTCGCCGCCCCCATTCTTACCTTCTTCGGGCCCGGAAAAAAGGACCCCAAAAGAACCTAATTGGGTCGCGGTTCCACAAATTGAAAGCGCGCTGTTTTCAAAATGCTTCTGATGCACTTATTCTACCCCTCACAAAATGGAAGCCGAAACGAGCTAATTCGGTCGTCGTTCCACATATTCGCCACCCGTCTTTTGGAGTTGCCATCTAGGTATTTTGGATACGAGAATGTGAGCGTGCTCAGTGTGTAGGATACAACAGCTTGCCCTGCTGGTGCCTCATCGTCGTTTCTCCTCCGGAAAAAATCCGTCCCCAGCACACATTTTCGAATCGTTTTTAGTTGAAAGCAACTTTTGGATCCTCTTTATATGCAAAAAGCTGAGGCTCGACTACTTGCAGTCGCATCTGGCAGCCGAGGTCGCTGGGCCTTCGCACTGCTTTTCCCCGATGGAGAGAAGCGAGAAACGCTAGAGGCCCGCGAAATGCATCTCATGCCCGGCGTGCATTCCTCGTGCATCAGACGTATTGTGTGGCGGATTTTGCGTCTTACAGTGCATACCGATTAGCCCCTCGCCATCTCCACCGTAAAAAAACCGACGCTGGTATGGACAGAAAAGCGAGACCTAGTCTGTGCGAAATGCCAAACAGATGTGCGCAGGAGAACCCCAGGGCCGGGACAGCGCGGCGAGCCATCGACATTTTGACGCCCGCCGACCACGTGCTCACCTATGTGAGCGCAGGCCTTGGGCAGTTTTCTCCACGGGGGGACGGGGTGCCGGGCCGCCAAAACCTGGCCCGTCCGTGTGTGTCTGTCTCTTTGGGGCGGCCGCCTTCCGTCAATGTTTGCGAGCCACCGGGCCGCCCGCTTCTGCCCGTGTTTCGGAGCTACCGGACCGCCAAAACTTTGCCCGGTCGTGTGTGTTTGTCTCTTTGGGGCGGCCGCTTTCCGTCAACGTTTGCGAGCCACCGGACCACCCGCGTCTGCCCGTGTTTCGGAGCTACCGGACCACCAAAGCTTTGCCCGGTCGTGTGCGTTTGTCTCTTTGGGGCGGCCGCTTTCCGTCAATGTTTGCGAGCCACCGGGCCGCCCGCTTCTGCCCGTGCTTCGGAGCTACCGGACCGCCAAAACTTTGCCCGGCCGTGTGTGTTTGTCTCTTTGGGCCGGCCGCTTTCCGTCAATGTTTGCGAGCCACCGGACCCCCCCGCGTCTGCCCGTGTTTCGGAGCTACCGGACCGCCAAAACTTTGCCCGGTCGTGTGTGTTTGTCTCTTTGGGGCGGCCGCTTTCCGTCGCTGTGTGTTTGCGAGCCACCCGACCACCTGCTTCTGCCCGTGTTTCGGAGCTACCGGACCGCCAAAACCTGGCCCGGTCGTGTGTGTTTGTCTCTTTGGGGCGGCCGCTTTCCGTCGCTGTTTGCGAGCCACCCGACCGCCTGCCTCTGCCCGTGTTTCGGAGCTACCGGACCACCAAAATCTCGCCCGGTCGTGTGTGTCTCTTTGTCTCTTTGGGGCGGCCGCTTTCCGTCGCTGTTTGCGAGCAACCCGGCCACCTGCGTCTGCCCGTGTTTCGGAGCTACCGGACCACCAAAACTTGGCCCGGTCGTTTGTGTTTGTCTCTTTGGGGCGGCCGCTTTCCGTCGCTGCTTGCGAGCCACCCGACCACCTGCGTCTGCCCGTGTTTCGGAGCTACCGGACCGCCAAAACTTGGCCCGGTCGTGTGTGTTTGTCTCTTTGGGGCGGCCGCTTTCCGTCGCTGTTTGCGAGCCACCCGACCACCTGCGTCTGCCCGTGTTTCGGAGCTACCGGACCACCAAAACCTGGCCCGGTCGTGTGTGTTTGTCTCTTTGGGGCGGCCGCTTTCCGTCGCTGTTTGCGAGCCACCCGACCACCTGCCTTTGCCCGTGTTTCGGAGCTACCGGACCGCCAAAACTTGGCCCGGTCGTGTGTGTTTGTCTCTTTGGGGCGGCCGCTTTCCGTCGCTGTTTGCGAGCCACCCGACCACCTGCGTCTGCCCGTGTTTCGGAGCTACCGGACCACCAAAACTTGGCCCGGTCGTGTGTGTTTCTTTGTCCCTTTGGGGCGGCCGCTTTCCGTCGCTGTTTGCGAGCCACCCGACCACCTGCGCCTACCCGTGTTTCGGAGCTACCGGACCACCAAAACTTGGCCCGGTCGTGTGTGTTTGTCTCTCCCACGGGAAAGGGCCGCGCCTCCCTGGGTTGCTCCAGTAGGCAAAGGGCTCTCCCCCCCGGCGAGATGCAAGCCCGAGGCGCGTACTGATGGCAGTGCATCTGGCCAGCGGAAGTTTCAAAATTCCGCTGGCCAGATGCACTCTCATACGGCGACAGACCTTGCCTAGTTTGCTCCAGTAGGCAAAGGGCCTTTCTCCCTGGCTGGATGCACGGTCGAGGGCGCGCCTGCCTGTGGGAGTGCATCTGGCCGGGGGGGGTTTCGAACTTCCGCTGGCCAGATGCACCCCCACACGGGGAAGGGCCGTGCCTGGTTTGCTCCGGTAGGCACAGGGCTCTTCTCCCTGGCTAGATGCGAGACCGAGTCGCCTACTGATGGGAGTGCATCTAGCCGGCGGAAGTTTCAGAGCCCCGCTGGCCAGATGCACTCTCCTACGGCGACAGACCTTGCTGAGCTTGCTCCAGTAGGCAAGGGGCGCTTCCTTCTCCCTGGCTGGATGCAAGGCCGAGTCGCCTATTGATGGCAGCGCATCTGGCCAGCGGAAGTTTCAAACTTCCGCTGGCCAGATGCACCCTCACGCGGGGAAGGGCCGCGCCTCCCTGGGTTGCTCCAGTAGGCAAAGGGCTCTTCTGCCTGGCTAGGTGCAAGACCGAGTGGCCTATTGATGGGAGTGCATCGGGCCAGCGGAATTTTCAAAGTTCTGCGGGCCAGATGCAATCTCATACGGCGACAGACCTTGCCTAGTTTGCTCCAGTAGGCAAAGGGCCTTTCTCCCTGGCTGGATGCAAGGCCGAGTCGCCTATTGATGGCAGTGCGTCAAACTTCCGCTGGCCAGATGCACCCTCACACGGAGAAGGGCCGTGCCTCCCTGGGTTGCTCCAGTAGGCGAAGGGCTCTTCTGCCTGGGTAGGTGCAAGACCGAGGGGCGTATTGATGGGAGTGCATCTGGCCAGCGGAAGTTTCAAAGTTCTGCTGGCCAGATGCACTCTCATACGGCGACAGACCTTGCCTGGTTTGCTCCGGTAGGCAATGGGTCTTTCTCCCTGGCTGGATGCAAGGCCGAGTCGCCCACTGATGGCAGTGCATCTGGCCAGCGGAGGTGTCAAACTTCCGCTGGCCAGATGCACCCTCACACGGGGAAGGGCCGTGCCTCCCTGGGTTGCTCCAGTAGGCAAAGGGCTCTCCTCCCCGGCTAGATGCAAGCCCGAGTCGCGTATTGATGGCAGTGCATCTGGCCAGCGCAAGTTTCAAAATTCCGCTGGCCAGATGCACTCTCATACGGCGACAGACCTTGCCTAGTTTGCTCCAGTAGGCAACGGGTCTTTCTCCCTGGCTGGATGCCACGCCGAGTCGCCTATTGATGGCAGTGCATCTGGCCAGCGGAAGTTTCAGCCTTCCGCTGGCCAGATGGACCCTCAAACGGGGAAGGGCCGTGCTTCCCTGGGTTGCTCCAGTAGGCAAAGGGCTCTTCTGCCTGGCTAGGTGCAAGACCGCGGAGCCTATTGATGGGAGTGCATCTGGCCAGCGGAAGTTTCAAAGTTCTGCTGGCCAGATGCACTCTCATACGGCGACAGACCTTGCCTAGTTTGCTCCAGTAGGCAAAGGGCCCTTCTCCCTGGCTGGATGCAAGGCCGGGTCGCCTATTGATGGCAGTGCATCTGGCCAGCGGAAGTTTCAAACTTCCGCTGGCCAGATGCATCCTCACACGGGGAAGGGCCGTGCCCCCCTGGGTTGCTCCAGTAGGCAAAGGGCTCTTCTGCCTGGCTAGGTGCAAGACCGAGTGGCCTATTGATGGGAGTGCATCTGGCCAGCGGAAGTTTCAAAGTTCTGCTGGCCAGATGCACTCTCATACGGCGACAGACCTTGCCTAGTTTGCTCCAGTAGGCAAAGGGCCTTTCTCCCTGGCTGGATGCAAGGCCGAGTCGCCTATTGATGGCAGTGCATCTGGCCAGCGGAAGTTTCAAACTTCCGCTGGCCAGATGCATCCTCACACGGGGAAGGGCCGTGCCCCCCTGGGTTGCTCCAGTAGGCAAAGGGCTCTTCTGCCTGGCTAGGTGCAAGACCGAGTGGCCTATTGATGGGAGTGCATCTGGCCAGCGGAAGTTTCAAAGTTCTGCTGGCCAGATGCACTCTCATACGGCGACAGACCTTGCCTAGTTTGCTCCAGTAGGCAAAGGGCCTTTCTCCCTGGCTGGATGCAAGGCCGAGTCGCCTATTGATGGCAGTGCATCTGGCCAGCGGAAGTTTCAAACTTCCGCTGGCCAGATGCATCCTCACACGGGGAAGGGCCGTGCCCCCCTGGGTTGCTCCAGTAGGCAAAGGGCTCTTCTGCCTGGCTAGGTGCAAGACCGAGTGGCCTATTGATGGGAGTGCATCTGGCCAGCGGAAGTTTCAAAGTTCTGCTGGCCAGATGCACTCTCATACGGCGACAGACCTTGCCTAGTTTGCTCCAGTAGGCAAAGGGCCTTTCTCCCTGGCTGGATGCAAGGCCGAGTCGCCTATTGATGGCAGTGCATCTGGCCAGCGGAAGTTTCAAACTTCCGCTGGCCAGATGCATCCTCACACGGGGAAGGGCCGTGCCCCCCTGGGTTGCTCCAGTAGGCAAAGGGCTCTTCTGCCTGGCTAGGTGCAAGACCGAGTGGCCTATTGATGGGAGTGCATCTGGCCAGCGGAAGTTTCAAAGTTCTGCTGGCCAGATGCACTCTCATACGGCGACAGACCTTGCCTAGTTTGCTCCAGTAGGCAAAGGGCCTTTCTCCCTGGCTGGATGCAAGGCCGAGTCGCCTATTGATGGCAGTGCATCTGGCCAGCGGAAGTTTCAAACTTCCGCTGGCCAGATGCATCCTCACACGGGGAAGGGCCGTGCCCCCCTGGGTTGCTCCAGTAGGCAAAGGGCTCTTCTGCCTGGCTAGGTGCAAGACCGAGTGGCCTATTGATGGGAGTGCATCTGGCCAGCGGAAGTTTCAAAGTTCTGCTGGCCAGATGCACTCTCATACGGCGACAGACCTTGCCTAGTTTGCTCCAGTAGCCAAAGGGCCTTTCCTCCTGGCTGGATGCAAGGCCGAGTCGCCTATTGATGGTAGTGCATCTGGCCAGCGGAAGTTTCAAACTTCCGCTGGCCAGATGCATCCCCACACGGGGAAGGGCCGCGCCTTCCTGGGTTGCTCCCGTAGGCAAAGGTCTTTTCTCCCTGGCTAGATGCAAGACCGAGTCGCCTGCTGATGGGAGTGCATCTGGCCAGCGGAAGTTTCGAAGTTCCGCTGGCCAGATGCACTCTCATACGGCGACAGACCTTGCCTAGATAGTTTGCTCCAGTAGGCAAAGGGCTTTTCTCCCTGGCTAGATGCACGGTCGAGGGCGCGCCTGCCTGTGGGAATGCATCTGGCCAGGGGAAGTTTCAAACCCCCGGTGGCCAGATGCATCCGCGCACGGGGAAGGGCCTTGCCTGGTTTGCTTCAGTAGGCACAGGGCCTTTCTCCCTGGCTAGATGGAGGGCCGAGTCGCCTATTGATGGCAGTGCATCTGGCCAGCGGAGGTTTCAAACTTCCGCTGGCCAGATGCACCCTCATACGGCGACAGACCTTGCTTAGTTTGCTCCAGTAGGCAAAGGGTTTTTCTCCCTGGGTAGATGCAAGTGCGAGTCCCGCTTATAATATTGATGGCAATGCATCTGGCCAGGGGAGGTTTCGAACTTCCGCTGGCCCGATGCACCCGCACACGGGGAAGGGCCTTGCCTAGTTTGCTCCAGTAGGCGAAGGGCCTTTCTCCCTGGTTGGATGCAAGGCCGAGTCGCCTATTGATGGCAGTGCATCTGGCCAGCGGAGGTTTCAAACTTCCGCTGGCCAGATGCACCCTCACACGGGGAAGGGCCGCGCCCCCCTGGGTTGCTCCAGTGGGCAGAGGGCTCTTCTGCCTGGCTAGGCGCGCGACCGAGTGGCCTATTGATGGGAGTGCATCTGGCCAACGGAAGTTTCAAAGTTCTGCTGCCCAGATGCACTCTCACACGGCGACAGACCTTGCCTAGTTTGCTCCAGTAGGCGCAGGGCCTTTCTTGGTGGCTAGATGCAAGGCCGAGTCGCCTAATAATGGCAGTGCATCTGGCCAGATGCACCCTCACACGGGGAAGGGCCGCGCCTCCCTGGGTTGCTCCAGTAGGCAAAAGGGCTCTTCTGCCTGGCTAGGTGCAAGAACGAGTGGCCTATTGATGGGAGTGCATCTGGCCAGCGGAGGCTTCAAAGTTCTGCTGGCCAGATGCACTCTCATACGGCGACAGACCTTGCCTAGTTTTTTACTCCAGTAGGCAAAGGGCCTTTCTCCCTGGCTGGATGCCAGGCCGAGTCGCCTATTGATGGCAGTGCATCTGGCCAGCGGAAGTGTCAAACTTCCGCTGGCCAGATGCACCCGCACACGGGGAAGGGCCGCGCCTCCCTGTGTTGGTGCAGTAGGCAAAGGGCTCTTCTGCCTGGCTAGGTGCAAGACCGGGTGGCCTATTGATGGGAGTGCATCTGGCCAGCGGAAGTTTCAAAGTTCTGCTGCCCAGATGCACTCTCATACGGCGACAGACCTTGCCTAGTTTGCTCCAGTAGGCACAGGGCCTTTCTCGCTGGCTATATGCAAGGCCGAGTCGCCTAATAACGGCAGTGCATCTGACCAGCAGAAGTCTCAAACTTCCGCTGGCCAGATGCACCCGCACACGGGGAAGGGCCGTGCCTCCCTGGGTTGCTCCAGTAGGCAAAGGGCTCTTCTGCCTGGCTAGGTGCAAGACCGAGTGGCCTATTGATGGGAGTGCATCTGGCCAGCGGAAGTTTCAAAGTTCTGCTGGCCAGATGCACTCTCATACGGCGACAGACCTTGCCTAGTTTGCTCCAGTAGGCAAAGGGCCTTTCTCCCTGGCTGGATGCAAGGCCGAGTCGCCTATTGATGGCAGTGCATCTGGCCAGCGGAAGTTTCAAACTTCCGCTGGCCAGATGCATCCTCACACGGGGAAGGGCCGTGCCTCCCTGGGTTGCTCCAGTAGGCAAAGGGCTCTTCTGCCTGGCTAGGTGCAAGACCGAGTGGCCTATTGATGGGAGTGCATCTGGCCAGCGGAAGTTTCAAAGTTCTGCTGGCCAGATGCACTCTCATACGGCGACAGACCTTGCCTAGTTTGCTCCAGTAGGCAAAGGGCCTTTCTCCCTGGCTGGATGCAAGGCCGAGTCGCCTATTGATGGCAGTGCATCTGGCCAGCGGAAGTTTCAAACTTCCGCTGGCCAGATGCATCCTCACACGGGGAAGGGCCGTGCCTCCCTGGGTTGCTCCAGTAGGCAAAGGGCTCTTCTGCCTGGCTAGGTGCAAGACCGAGTGGCCTATTGATGGGAGTGCATCTGGCCAGCGGAAGTTTCAAAGTTCTGCTGGCCAGATGCACTCTCATACGGCGACAGACCTTGCCTAGTTTGCTCCAGTAGGCAAAGGGCCTTTCTCCCTGGCTGGATGCAAGGCCGAGTCGCCTATTGATGGCAGTGCATCTGGCCAGCGGAAGTTTCAAACTTCCGCTGGCCAGATGCATCCTCACACGGGGAAGGGCCGTGCCTCCCTGGGTTGCTCCAGTAGGCAAAGGGCTCTTCTGCCTGGCTAGGTGCAAGACCGAGTGGCCTATTGATGGGAGTGCATCTGGCCAGCGGAAGTTTCAAAGTTCTGCTGGCCAGATGCACTCTCATACGGCGACAGACCTTGCCTAGTTTGCTCCAGTAGGCAAAGGGCCTTTCTCCCTGGCTGGATGCAAGGCCGAGTCGCCTATTGATGGCAGTGCATCTGGCCAGCGGAAGTTTCAAACTTCCGCTGGCCAGATGCATCCTCACACGGGGAAGGGCCGTGCCTCCCTGGGTTGCTCCAGTAGGCAAAGGGCTCTTCTGCCTGGCTAGGTGCAAGACCGAGTGGCCTATTGATGGGAGTGCATCTGGCCAGCGGAAGTTTCAAAGTTCTGCTGGCCAGATGCACTCTCATACGGCGACAGACCTTGCCTAGTTTGCTCCAGTAGGCAAAGGGCCTTTCTCCCTGGCTGGATGCCAGGCCGAGTCTCCTAGCAGTGGGATTGCATCTAGCAAGCGGAAGGGTCAAACTTCCGCTGGCCAGAAGATGCATCTGCTCATTAGGGAAGAGCCTGTCCGAGAGTTTTCTCCAGTAGGCAAGGGGCTTGTCTCCCTGGCTAGATGCGCGCACGGGTCATGCAAGCCTGTTTCGATAGTTGCATCGGGTATCAATCCAGCACAGACTTTGTCGCCTTTGGAAAGTTATTTTGGATACCAGGGAGAAGCGCGGCAGGTACTCGAGCCAGGCTATCAAGCAAGAAACTCCAGCCATGATACCAGGAATAAACCCAAATTTGTGTTGCTGTTTCCGTGTAGCCAAAGAGATCATCTCGGCTGTTCCGCATGACAAACTTCTTTGGCACCTCTTTCGCAATCGACAAAACGCGTCACAGGCTGCATTCTGCATGAGTGAGAACTGTTTTCCCTGCGGTCTCCGCATCACAGAGCTCTCTGCGCGACAAATGAAGCAACACAAATTATCTTTTTCCCTGGTGCTATCTTGGGTGTGCTTTTCTGTATGATACAGGCCATGTTGATCTGGATGATCAGCTATACACTGCAAATGTGGTTGGTTCTGGATAACAGTCATGCTAAGCCTTGCATGACAAAGCAGCTTGTTGTACGGCATGGACGCATTACGGGTTTTTCGGGTCTAATTGCGAGTTCTTTATTTTCCGTATTTAGCATGACAAACTGCCATCTTCCAGCACGACAAAGAAGCATGAGTAGAATTCCCTTCATGCAATACAGATCTTGGCGTCACGAAACTCCACCATCACAAATCCAGACCCAGACATATTTGCAATGCGTATCGGCCCATCATTCTGGTCGGCGTATCGGCGGAAAATTTCTTCGTAAAGTCTTCTGCCGCAGCCTGTGATGCAGTTTCTACATGACAAATTTGCGCAGCCTTGTACCTACTGTTTGACCAGCTGACACCTTTGAAGACGCTTATCTGCATGAGTTATCCACAACAACATCGGATTTACGGACAAATTTTCCTCCCGTACCGGGGCGGCCATCATATTGCGCAACCGATTTTATTCTGGTCAGGCTACTTCTAGCGCTGTCATAATCCTGGTCGAGACGGACAGCAACCCTCCTGCGGTGGACTAGAAGTTTTTGTAGAACTACGTGAGCGATGAGTGTGTGCTTTCGGTTACTCTACACAGTGGAGCGCGTGTTTTTGTGTGGACTGGCTCGCCGTGGTGCCGGCCGAAAAAACATGAATGCCAGAGGCCATTTCTCAGTTGCTTGTACTTCTAGCTGAGGTTAGTAGCTCCCTACCAAGTCATACGCGGACACTGTCCGCGCTTGACCGTAGGTGCACAGAAGGAGCGCATGTTCTAGGCCAGCGTAGCATCGGATGAACTGGACGGCTGCCGACAGAGAAGTTCTTGGCGCCGGCACTAAGAAAAGCTTCCTTGCCCGTAAAGGGCATTCTATAGTTCATCTCGCTGCCGTACCTTCATCTAGCTACCTGCCGTACGTTGTAGACGAACTGGCGGCGGGGCTCACGAAAGGGCACTCGAACTTGGCACAAAAAGGCTGCAAAAAGCAACGCAAACGACCAGAAGCACGAAGGTATGCTGTCGTGGGAAATATCCGAGTATAGACTTCTCAAGCGAAACGCTCACCCGGTGAGCGTTTCGCCTTGGAGGCCCATATGGATAAGCGGCCTATATCGACCATAGCGTCGGGCTGGCCGCACGAAAGGGCACTCGACAGTGGCAAAAAAGGTTTCAAAAAGCAACACAAACGACCAGAAGCACAAAGGTATGCTGTCCTGGGAAATATCCGAGTATAGACTTCTCAAGCGAAACGCTCACCCGGTGAGCGTTTCGCCTTGGAGGCCCATATGGATAATCGGCCTGTGTCGACCATAGCGTCGGGCGGGCCTCACGAAAGGGCACTCGATTGTGGCAAAAAAGGTTTCAAAAGACAGCACAAACAGCCAGAAGCAGGCCGGTATGCTGTCGCGGAAAAGATCCGAGTAGAGCCTTCCTAGGCGAAACGCTCACCCGGTGAGCGTTTCGCCTTGGAGGCCCATATGGATAGTCGGCCTATATCGACCATAGCATCGGGCGGGCCTCACGAAAGGACACTCGACAGTGGCAAAAAAGGTCTCAAGAGACAGCACAAACAGCCAGAAGCTGGGCGGTATGCTGTCGCGGGAAAGATCCGAATAGAGCCTTCCTAGGCGAAACGCTCACCCGGTGAGCGTTTCGCCTTGGAGGCCCATATGAATAATCGGCCTGCGTCGACCTTAGCATCGGGCGGGCCTTAAGAAAGAGCACTCGACCGCGGCAAAAAAGGTTTCAAAAGACAGCACAAACAGCCAGAAGCACCACGGTATGCTGTAGTGGGGAAGATCCGAATACAGACTTCTTAGGCGAAACGCTCACCCGGTGAGCGTTTCGCCTTGGAGGCCCATGTGGGTAATCGGCCTATATCGACCATAGCATCGGGCGGGCCTCACGAAAAGGCACTCGAGAGTGGCGAAAAAGGTTTCAAAAGGCATTACAGACAGCCAGAAGCGCAACGGTATGCTGCAGTGGGAAAGATCCGAATATCGAGGCCTCAGGCGAAACGCTCACCCGGTGAGCGTTTCGCCTTGGAGGCCCATATGGATAATCGGCCTGTGTCGAACATACAGTCGGGTGGGCCTCACGAGAGGGCGCTCGAACTTGGCACAAAAAGGTTTCAAAAAGGTTCAGCCCCTCCTTCCGCCTTCCGAAGCCTCTGCAGCTGGAAACCCAAAGCCGACCACTTTTTGTGCCAAAAAAAGCCAGCATAACGCGCGGGGGAAGATTTTTGCAACCCCTCCTTCCGCCTTCCCAAGCCTCTGTAGCTGGAAACCCAAAGCCGACCACTTTTTGGGCCAAAAGAAGCCAGCACAACGTGCGGGGAGAGATTTTTGCAACCCCTTCTTCCGAGCGCCCAAGCCTCTGCAGCTGGAAACCCAAAGCCGACCACTTTTTGTGCCAAAAAAAACCAGCATAACGCGCGGGGGAAGATTTTTGCAACCCCTCCTTCCGCCTTCCCAGGCCTCTGTAGCTGGAAACCCAAAGCCGACCACTTTTTGCGCCAAAAAAAACCAGCACAACGTGCGGGGGGAGATTTTTGCAACCCCTTCTTCCGAGCGCCCAAGCCTCTGCAGCTGGAAACCCAAAGCCGACCACTTTTTGTGTCAAAAAAAGCCAGCATAACGCGCGGGGGGAGATTTTTGCAACCCCTTCTTCCGAGCGTCCAAGCCTCTGCAGCTGGAAACCCAAAGCCGACCACTTTTTGGGCCAAAAAAAACCAGCATAACGTGCGGGGAGAGATTTTTGCAACCCCTCCTTCCGCCTTCCCAAGCCTCTGTAGCTGGAAACCCAAAGCCGACCACTTTTTGGGCCAAAAGAAGCCAGCATAACGTGCGGGGGGAGATTTTTGCAACCCCACCTTCCGAGTGCCCAAGCCTCTGCAGCTGGAGACCCAAAGTCGACCACTTTTTGGGCCAAAAAAAAGCCAGCATAACGCGCGGGGGGAGATTTTTGCAACCCCTTCGTCCGAGTGCCCAAGCCTCTGCAGCTGGAAACCCAAAGCCGACCACTTTTTGGGCCAAAAAAAGCCAGCATAGCGTGCGGGGGGAGATTTTTGCAACCCCTCCGTCCGAGTGCCCAAGCCTCTGCAGCTGGAGACCCAAAGTCGACCACTTTTTGGGCCAAAAACAGCCCGCATAACGTGCGGGGGGAGATTTTTGCAACCCTTCCTTCCGAGTGCCCAAGCCTCTGCAGCTGGAGACTTAAAGTCGGCCACTTTTTGGGCCAAAAAGAGCCAGCATAACGTGCGGGGGGAGATTTTTGCAACCCCTCCGTCCGAGTGCCCAAGCCTCTGCAGCTGGAAACCCAAAGTCGACCACTTTTTGGGCCAAAAACAGCCCGCATAACGTGCGGGGGGAGATTTTTGCAACCCTTCCTTCCGAGTGCCCAAGCCTCTGCAGCTGGAGACTTAAAGTCGGCCACTTTTTGGGCCAAAAAGAGCCAGCATAACGTGCGGGGGGAGATTTTTGCAACCCCTCCGTCCGAGTGCCCAAGCCTCTGCAGCTGGAAACCCAAAGTCGACCACTTTTTGGGCCAAAAACAGCCCGCATAACGTGCGGGGGGAGATTTTTGCAACCCCTTCTTCCGAGTGCCCAAGCCTCTGCAGCTGGAAACCCAAAGTCGACCCCTTTTGGGCCAAAACAAGCCAGCATAACGCGCGGGGGGCGATTTTTGCAGCCCCTCCTTCCGAGTGCCCAAGCCTCTGCAGCTGGAAACCCAAAGTCGACCACTTTTTGGGCCAAAAACAGCCAGCATAGCGTGCGGGAGGAGATTTTTGCAACCCCTCCTTCCGAGTGCCTAAGCCTTTGCAGCTGGAAATTCAAAGTCGCCCGAATTTTGGGCCAAAAAGCGCGTATGTTTTCTGGCAGCATATAATCGCGTGAAAGGTCCAGCAACGGAAATAGACGTTTCTGGCGAAGGCAATAGAAGCACGCCTCCCAGTGGCCATTTCTCAGTGCGCCTAGCTACACCCATGGCCCCTCCTTAAATCATACGCGGACACTGTCCGCGTTTGACTTGGGAGGCCCGAAAAGACCATATTTTTTCTGGCAGCATAGCATCGCGTGAAAGGCCCAGCTACGGCAACAGGAGTTTTTGGGGAAGGCAGTAAACACGCCTCCCCGTGGGCATTTCTCAGTGCGTCTAGCTACTACCCATGGCCCCCCCGTAAGTCATACGCGGACACTGTCCGCGTATGACTTAGGAGGCCCAAAAAAACCATATGTTTTCTGCCAGCATAGCATCGCGCGAAAGTCCCAGCTACCGAAATAGAAGTTTCTGGCGAGAGAAGTAAGAACACACCTCCCCGTGGCCATTGCTCAGTGCGTCTAGCTACTATTAATGGCCCTCCCGTAAGTCATACGCGGACACTGTCCGCGTATGACTTAGGAGGCCCAAAAAGCCCATATGTTTTCTGCCAGCATAGCATCGCGTGAAATGCCCGGCTGCGGAAATAAAATTTTCTGTCGAGAGAAGTAAAAACACACCTCCCCGAGGCCATTTCTCAGTGCGTCTAGCTATCACCCATGGCCGTTCCTTAAGTCATACGCGGACACTGTCCGCGTATGACTTAGGAGGACCAAAAAGCCCATATGTTTTCTGCCAGCATAGCATCGCGTGAAATTCCCAGCTACCGAAAGAGAAGCTTCTGGCGAGAGAAGTAAAAACACACCCCCCCGTGGCCATTTCTCAGTGCGTCTAGCTACTACCCATGGCCCCCCCGTAAGTCATACGCGGGCACTGTCCGCGTGTGACTTGAGAGGCCCAAAAAGACCATATGACTTCTGCCAGCATAGCATCGCGTGAATGGCCCAGCTGCTGAAATAGAAGTTTCTGGCGAAAGCAGTAGAAACACGCCGTGCAGTGGCCATTTCTCAGTGCGTCTAGGTATCACCCATGGCCGTTCCTTAAGTCATACGCGGACACTGTCCGCGTATGACTTAGGAGGACCAAAAAGGCCATTTGTTTTCTGCCGGCATAGCATCGTGTGAAAGGCCCAGCTACCGAAATAGAAGTTTCTGGCGAGAGAAGTAAAAACACACCTCCCCGGGGCCATTTCTCAGTGCGTCTAGCTACTACCCATGGCCCTCTCGTAAGTCATATGACTTAGGAGGCCCGAAAAGACCATATGTTTTCTGCCAGCATAGCATCGCGTCAAAGTCCTAGCTACGCAAATAGAAGCTTTTGGTGAAGGCAGGGGAAACACGACTCCATATAAGTAGGCATCAATTTCTCAGTGCATCTACTAGCTAACATCCGTAGATGTCTCCCGACGCGCTGCATCACATTCAGGGCTGCGGCATTTCCTGGGTTTATATTCTGCTCAGCCCTGCCCTCCGGGTCAGATTCAAATTTGGGTTCCCCTTGTTTGCTTTTGAGATGTGTGGTATGGGAAATGGATTTCGCGTCAAGCCATATCCCGACACACTGCCCATTCGAGGTTTATTGGTTCCTCTCTTTACTCGTTTCGCAAGTGAAATTATCTGTAAATGCCTCAGCCTAGTTGTGCGATAGTTGTTCTTCCTTTTATCGTTTTGTCGCAGGTTGAAAATAGACGTAAAGAAATGGCAGTTGAAAATAGACGTACAGAAATGCCAGTCGTGATATGCGGAAAAAAGTGAACTTCAAGCATTCTTTGAGAATTTGTTTCCAACTTTTTTGCAAAAAAAACCAACATCGAAAGTTTTTCCTTCATCTGGCCGAATATTGTCAGCGCTCAAACAGAGCCGCTGGTGCTTGCCGCGTTTGGCTTCTCCTCCAGCGGCAGAACATGCTGCTCGAGAGCCTCGTTTATGCTGTCGTCTGCGGGTGTTACCTCGGTCGCTGCCCCCGTACTCACGGTTGCGTTGAAAAAACCGGCGCTGTCGATATAACCTGCTCAGGTGCTAAAATCTCAAACGTTACAATAGAATGTGGAAATCTGTGATGCAGGAAGTGCATGATCTAACCGACCCCCACAGGATTGCGCATGACAAGTTCCGGAGCCCGAAACCGCCCTAGAATCTGGCGCAATTTGTATTGCAGAATGTGGAATGCTGTCCGAGTCTGTCATGCAATACAAAATACAGATTGAGATTCTATCGTAACGTTTGGTATTGTAACGTTTGAGCAGGTCATAGTCGAGCGCGTCGCCCTGCCTGCCCCAGTCGGCGCCAGCAGCACTGGTGATGTTCCGGCACCAGCTGGCTGCGAAGCCGCGGTAGGTGTTTGCCACTGGGTTGTCGCGGAAAAGTGTCGCGTTCTCGGGCAAGTTCATATCAATTGCAAATATGTCCGGGTCTGGAAGAGTCGGGGCTTGTCATGCAGATTTTGCATGACCCGTGAGGTCTGTGATGCTGGTGCTAGCATCACAGATTTTGTGAGAGCTTCTTGATGCTAATTACGCATGAGAAATGCCCGCTCCTCGTGCCAGGAACTGACTCTTCTCGCTGCTCAGGCAACACAGATATTAGTATCCATAGACAGCATTACAAGTTCCACTCTTCCAGGCCCAGACACTTTTGCAATCCATAGTTCAGGAGCTCCGTCAAATTCGCGCACAGGATATGCATTGCAAATAGTATAGAACCTGCAACGCTGGTCGCCCACTCCTGTGCAATCTGTATTGCATCATGGCCAACCTTTTGCCGAGCAAAAACCTGCGCCGTCCGGTCGGTATACAGATTTCGGCCCGGGACCGTTTTCCCGAGCACAGCGAAGGTGGGCGCGCCGGTTGTTTTGGGGCGTTTTGCCGAGCAAAATCCTGCGCAGTCCGCTCGGTGTACAGATATCGGCCCGGGACCGTTTTCCCGAGCAAAGCGAAGGTGGGGGCGCCGGTTGTTTTGGGGCGTTTTGCCGGGCAAAAACCTGCGCCGTCTGCTCGGTGTAAAGATTTCGGCCCGGAACCGTTTGCCCGAGCAAAGCGAAGGTGGGGGCGCCGGTTGTTTTGAAGCGTTTTGCCGAGCAAAAACCTGCGCCGTCCGCTCGGTGTAAAGATTTCGGCCCGGGACCGTTTTCCCGAGCAAAGCGAAGGTGGGGGCGCCGGTTGTTTTGGGGCGTTTTGCCGAGCAAAAACCTGCGCCGTCCGCTCGGTGTAAAGATTTCGGCCCGGGACCGTTTTCCCGAGCAAAGCGAAGGTGGGGGCGCCGGTTGTTTTGGGGCGTTTTGCCGAGCAAAAACCTGCGCCGTCCGCTCGGTGTAAAGATTTCGGCCCGGGACCGTTTTCCCGAGCAAAGCGAAGGTGGGGGCGCCGGTTGTTTTGGGGCGTTTTGCCGAGCAAAAACCTGCGCCGTCCGCTCGGTGTAAAGATTTCGGCCCGGGACCGTTTTCCCGAGCAAAGCGAAGGTGGGGGCGCCGGTTGTTTTGGGGCGTTTTGCCGAGCAAAAACCTGCGCCGTCCGCTCGGTGTAAAGATTTCGGCCCGGGACCGTTTTCCCGAGCAAAGCGAAGGTGGGGGCGCCGGTTGTTTTGGGGCGTTTTGCCGAGCAAAAACCTGCGCCGTCCGCTCGGTGTAAAGATTTCGGCCCGGGACCGTTTTCCCGAGCAAAGCGAAGGTGGGGGCGCCGGTTGTTTTGGGGCGTTTTGCCGAGCAAAAACCTGCGCCGTCCGCTCGGTGTAAAGATTTCGGCCCGGGACCGTTTTCCCGAGCAAAGCGAAGGTGGGGGCGCCGGTTGTTTTGGGGCGTTTTGCCGAGCAAAAACCTGCGCCGTCCGCTCGGTGTAAAGATTTCGGCCCGGGACCGTTTTCCCGAGCAAAGCGAAGGTGGGGGCGCCGGTTGTTTTGGGGCGTTTTGCCGAGCAAAAACCTGCGCCGTCCGCTCGGTGTAAAGATTTCGGCCCGGGACCGTTTTCCCGAGCAAAGCGAAGGTGGGGGCGCCGGTTGTTTTGGGGCGTTTTGCCGAGCAAAAACCTGCGCCGTCCGCTCGGTGTAAAGATTTCGGCCCGGGACCGTTTTCCCGAGCAAAGCGAAGGTGGGGGCGCCGGTTGTTTTGGGGCGTTTTGCCGAGCAAAAACCTGCGCCGTCCGCTCGGTGTACAGATTTCGGCCCGGGACCGTTTTCCCGAGCAAAGCGAAGGTGGGGGCGCCGGTTGTTTTCGGGCCGTTTACAAGCGGTGCAGCATCTTTTGTCATACAAAAACGCAGCTTCTCATGCGGGCTGCGCATGAGAAAGCCTGCTGGAAAGTTGTCATGTGTGGCTGCATTCCCATTCGGAAGTGTTCCCACTATCCACACTTTAGCATCACAAGTTTCCTCCAGACGTCCAGATCATGTATTTGCATTTCATACAGGACCGCCGTTATGTTCGGTGGAATTCGTACGTTCTCGTCATATTCTTCCGGGTCGGGGTAAGAAAACCCGTACTGCTGCATCGCCCGCCACGGTCCTTTTTTCGCGATGCCGTAGCTGGTATGGATTGTAAAAATGTCTGGGTCTGGAAGAATGCTAGACTTGTCATGCAGGTTTTCCATGACCCATGGGATCTGATATGGAGGACATAGCATGACAGATTCTGTGACAGTTCTATCATGCCTATCCTGCATTAGAAACTGCCTCTCGATTTTTAGGTCAAAAGTGGACAGCTTTTGGTAATCATGCAACACAGATTTTTACATGATTCAGATTTAGCATGACAAGTTGCTTTGTTCCAGACCCAGACATTTTTGCATTTGATAGCTGGTCAGAATCGCTTCACCCTTGGTCAGGTTCCTTTTGGCGACCAAACAGCTCCACCGGCTGTTCTCCGGCTTGACAGCCTTGACCAATTCGCGCGCGGCTAGTTCAAAGATGGTCTTCATTCGGAGGAAAAACATCGTCCCCATCCCAGAGTTAAGATGGGGATTTTGCAAGACAAACCTGGAAGTTTTGGTGGTTACGCATGAGAAGTTTTTCTCTGTATTGTAATGCAGTTTAGCTGCAAGGAGAAGGACAGCCGCGTCACACAGCGACCTACTTCCCATCCTGTTTGCAGCATTACAAAATCGAAAAACGCGATCCTTGAAAATACCTCTGTTGGGGATGCGCATCACAAGTGTTCCTGCAATTGCAAATGTGCATGACAACTCTGGTTCGAGTACGTTTTTCCTATAGGATAGTCTTGTTCAGCTCCGCGGTGGTGGATGCGTTGGTGCTGTTCTTTAGCTATGGATTGCAAACATATCGTACTAGTAGTGACATCGCATCACAAATTTTCCCGGTATGATGAGAAACGGAATTTGTAATGCGGATTCTTGCCCTCAACAACTAGACTCGTAATGCATGACTACCATTAGTACTACGAGTACGGTACTCGTCTTGCGAGAATGCATATTAGAACTTTGGCACGCTGTATTGCAAGCGCTTTCCGCTTGTCCAGGCGCGCCGCAATGCTCCGCACTATCAAATGCAAAAATGTCTGGGTCTAGAAGGTGGCAACTTGTCATGGTAAATCCGAATCATGTAAAAATCTGTGTTGCATGATTACCAAAAGCTGTCCACTTTTGACCAAGTTAGGATGAAATTTCTCATGCAGGGTAGGCATGATAGGCATCTGGCAGAATCTGTCATGCTAGGTCCTGCATTCCAGACGACATGGATCATGGAAAATATGCATGACAAATCTAGAAATCTTCCAGACCCAGACATTTTTGCATTTGATACGCACGGTGTCGTGGCGATGCACCTTCTGGTAGTACAAGGCGTTTATCAAATGCAAATACGTGTCTGGGTCCTCTGGAAGGACGCAACTTGTGATGCGTCCGGTGGATCTAAAAGACCTGTCTTGTGTGATCACCAAAAGTTGCCCTTTTCTGACCACCGTGAGAGGGAGTTTCTCACGCAGGACAGGCATGATAGAGATGTCGCAGAATCTGTCATGCTAGGAGGTCCTGCATTCAAGACCTGATAGGGCATGGAAATTCTGCATGAAAATTTCGCAGCCTTCCAGTTGACCTAGACATATTTGCATTTGATAGCGTTTAGTTCCTATCAAATGAAAAAATGTCTGGGTCTGGAAGGTTCTGAGACTTGTCATGCACATTTTGCATGAGCCATGATGTCTGTGATGCATGCCCTAGCATCACAGATCTTTCGAGGGCTTCTTGATGCCTAATCCGCATGACAAATGCCCTCCCCGCGTAGCAAGCATTACGCTCCCTTTGCTGCTCATGCAATACAGATTTCTTTGGAATCCAAATTCAGCATCACAAGTTGAATTCTTCCAGACCCAGACATTTTATGCATTTGATAGTTCCTTCCGTGGCGCGTTGTTCGTCATGTCCAGCTATGCATTGCAAACATGTCTGGATCTTCCTCTCGAAAGATGCATTACACACGCAATTTGTCATGGTGGTCCTTGCATCTGCATGCCAGAGGCTTCATCCCTTGTACGGCAGAACAGCATGAAAACTGCTCCTCGGCTGTGTGCAAGTTCTGGTGTGTTTAGCATGACAACAAACACCTGGGTGATGTCACAGCATGACAAAAAAACTGGCTCATAGCATTTTCATGCATCACAGATTTCGTTGTCCTTCAAAATTCGCATCACAAATGCAGACCTAGACATATTTGCAATGCATACCAGCAGCGGCTCAAGACCTGCCTGATCCGGCAGGAATGCTCGATTCTCGAGCAGGAGAAGCGCGTACTCAGCCAGATCTGGCGGCACTGGCCGTCTCCGGTATCCTGAGTAAAAGGGCCCCCATACCAGAGTCAAGATGGGAAATCTGCTAAACAAATCAGCCAACTTTGGTTGTTTCGCATGACAAGTTCGTCCTCGTAGTGTAATCCTGTTTAGCTAGTTCAGCAGCATCACAGTTCTATCATATCATGCTATTTCTAGCATCACAAATCCCATCAAAACACGATTCGAAAATAAAGCTTCTCATGGGGCTTCGTATGAGAAACTTTTTTGGCATGCAGATTTGCATGACAACTCTGGGGTGGGGATGTTTTTACTTAGAATATCCGAGGGTAGTTGTTCGAAGTGTGTTCTTATGAAATGTAAATATGTCTGGGTCTGGAAGAATTCATGTTTGTCATGCTTGTCTGGCATGATTCTTAAATCTGTCATGCACGTTACCCAAGAGCTGCGTTTTTCTGTGATGCAGAAGCGCAGTTTGTCATGCAGAATAGGCAACACCTAAGAGCTCAGAAACTTGTCATGCGGAGCCAGCATCTGTAGCCTCATCATGAGACGCTACCCAGCATCACAAGTTTCCAGACCCCGACATTTTTGCATTTGATAGTTCTACTCCTGTTCCTCGCGAGTTTTGGGTCTCGGAGATGGGGATGACCTCGTCCCCCCAAAAAAGCCCGTCTTCCTGGGTGTATTCTTGCAGGTACTTCCTGTATATCAAATGCAAAAATGTCCGGGTGGTCTGGGAGATTGCGAGAATTGTCATGCTTGTCTGGCACGACTCTGAACTCTGTGTTGCATGGCCGCGAAGAGCTCCTCCTCCCTGTCATGCAAAACCGCAGTTTCTCATGCAGAGTACGCAACTCAGAGCCATGGAAAACACTTGTCATGCTTGGCAGCGTGTTATAGTGAGTTCACTATTCCCGTTCTTGCATCACAAGTTTCCAGACACAGACATTTTTGCAGTTGATACTGTAGCACCGTCGCAAGGGTTTGATCCGGTACTCCAGCCAGTAACTCTGGTGTATGTGCTATTGTGAGGAAAAATCTCCCCTCTCGTCGAAATCGAAAACGAAATTTGTGTTGCTGTATTTGAGTACACAAATCGACTTGTATTGCTAGAAGGCCAAGAGACGCAGTTGTGGCCACCTCGTTTGCAGGCAATTTGTTATGCTGTTTACCGGTTCCAGTTGCAGCTTCCTGTCGTGCTCAAGGCGCACGGCTTTCCTACGCCAGCCAGCACTACAAAATCCGCATCTCTACTTCCCTTCTAGCATGACAACGTGATTTGTGATCACAAATCATGCTACACAATAAATCTTCCCTTGAGTATGGGGAGGGGGGACTTTTCAAGTTGATATGTGCGGTGGCATCCAGGGGCGGACGGAGTCTTCTTGCTCGCTGGAGAGAAGATGCACCGCTGTAGTCGTCGTTGCATCCGTTGTTTTATCAAATGCAAATATGTCTGGGTCTGGAAGCGTGGAAGCTTGTTATGCAGATTTTCCATGACCCATGAGGTCTGGAATGCAAGACCTGGCATGACAGATTCTGCGACATCTCTGCCGTGCCGGTTCTGCATGAGAAACTCCCTCGCAACTTGGTCAAAAGTGGACAACTGCTGGCAGTCATGCAACACAGATTTTTACATTGTGTAGACTTAGCATCACAAGTTAGTGTCTTCCAGAGCCAGATATATTTGCACTAGATATTCTTCATTTTTTTTGCCGGTGCTTGTTGTAGTTTTTGCCGCGTTTTGTTGTGTACGCTTTTCCATTTTCCCTCCTTCCGTATCCTGAGCAAAAACGTCCCCACCCCAGAGTTGCCATGCCAATGCGCAATGGCGGGAACATTTGTAATACGCATCTCCAAAAGAGGCATTTCCAATCGTGTTTGTCATTTGTAATGCTGTAAACAGGATTAGAAAGTGGCTTTGTCATGCGGTTTCCCTAGCTAACCAGCACTACACTGCAGATGGAAACTTGTCATGCACAACTCTCTTACCAACTTGACTATGGTGTGGAGAGATTTTTGGGCAGGATATTCCGTGCTGTTCCTCCGCTGCAGCTTGATCCGGAGTTCGCGCGCAGCACCGTCCAGCCAGTACATGGGGTGACCGCTGCGCATATCAAATGTAAAAATGTCTGGGTCTGGAAGATTCTGAGATTTGTCATGCATATTTTGCATGCCCCGGGATGTCTGTAATGCACGACCTAGCATCACAGGTTCTTCGAGAGCTTCCTGATGCCTACTCCGCATGAAGACAAATGCCCTCCCCACGTAGCAGAAGCGAGACCTCTCTACTTGCTGGTCATGCAATACAGATTTTTTTAGAATCCAAAGTGAGCATCACAAGTTCCAACCTTCCAGACCCAGACACTTTTACAGTTGATAGCGCAGGTAGTCTTCCGCGGACATCAGCATCGGAAAATAGTGCTTAAACGCCGAAGCTTCGCGCTTTTGGGCCATTTCTTCTGCGACCCAAAGGGAGAACGGGGACCGAGTCGAACACTCCTCCGGGTACTTCTTCGTCAACATTTCGTTATCAACTGCAAAAATGTCTGGGTCTGGAAAGTTGTGATGCAAGGAAGGAAATAGTGAGCACACTGTAATGCACTGCCCAGCATGACAAGTTCTTCCGTGGTTCAGAGTTGCGTACTCCGCATGAGAAATAACTGCATTTTTGCATGACAGGTGAGAGGAGCTCTTTGATGCGGGCACGCAATACAGAGTTGACAGTCATGCCAGACTAGCATGACAGATCTTCCAGACCCAGACACATTTGCATTTGATATTCGTACCGCTTCGGCATATTGATCGGGCCGAGCCAGCACTTCCTTTATCAAATGCAAAAATGTCTGGGTCTGGAAACTTGTGATGCTGAGTGGCGTATCAACATGGGGCCACAAGTGCGGGCCCAGCATGACAAGTTTCTGAGCTTCTAGGTGTTGCCTATTCTGCATGACAAACTGCGTTTCTGCATGACAGAAAAATAGAGCTCTTGGGTAACGTGCATGACATATTCAAGAGTCATGCCAGACAAGCATGACAAACATGCATTCTTCCAGACCCAGACATTTTTACATTTGATATCCTTGAAATGCAGGCAATGTCCTCTCCGGCGCGCAAATCTTTCGCAGCCACAAGTCCGCGCATAGGAGCTTTTTTTCTAGCGGTCTCGTATCAACTGCAAATACGTCTGGGTCAGGAAGAGTGGAACTTGTAATGCGTGTCTTGAATTCCTAGAAAATCTGTGTTGCGTGAGCAGCAGAAGCGCCGCTTCCTTTGTCATGCGAAAACGCAAAAATTTGTAATGCGGGCAGGACATGATCATCAGAAGGCGTTTCAAAAAGTTGTTATGCGTGGCTGCGATGGCAAGCGTTGCAGCCAGCAGCAAATCAGCATCACAGGTTTCCAGACCTAGACATATTTGCATTTGATAAGTAGGTTGCGTATCCGATTCTGACGTTGTCCAAGCCGACCGCGCTGCAGTTATCGTAAGGAGAAATCCCCCCTCCCCATATCGAAAAGAGAATTTGTGTTGCTGATTTGTGACGACAAATCCGCTACTTTGTCTTGCGTACAACGCAAACGGCTGCACCCATGTGGCGCAGTGTGCAGCAAGTCTGTCATGCGCTTTCGCCTAAGGTCAGACTTGTTTCTCATGCTCAGCTGCACTAGCCGGATGCGTAGTACCCAAAAAATGGGCTTACTGAATATGCCGACAAGATCTTGCTGCAATACAAAGTTCCTTTGTGTACCCAAAACCAGCAACACAAATTATGTCTTTTGAATATGGGGTTGTGGTGGTTTTTTTCACTATGATAGCAGTCGGTTTTCAGCCAGGTGAACAGGTTTGTGTACTTCTGCTGCTCGGCAAGAATGCTGAGGAGGTAAGCGTCCAGGGGAGTGGTCGTGTTCCGGGTTTTGTTGTTGTCCATCATTTTCCTCAAAGCTGTGTCGTTCGTCGTGTGGTTTTTGTAGTTTTCATCTCGCAATACGAACGGAGTTGTTGAAGTTGATGGGTCTGTGCTTGGTTTATTCATCGCGGTGGAATTGTCTACTTTATTTCCGTGGTCTACAACGACTACCTCGTGCTCCGGCAAGGAGTCTGGGTGCTGACTGAGGGTAGAGAAGTAGTAGTACGCCACGGCGACTACCATCACGACCGCGGGAGAGTACTTTTTCGCAACTACCGAGACACCTCCGAAAAGGCCTGTTTTGCACTTCTTGTTGGCCATCATCAATTTTTCGTTGTGCTGCCGCACCGCCTCGCTGGCACCAGAAACCGCGCCGGGAGGGGTTACCGGAGAACGCGTCATCTCGGAGACGTGCTTCCTGTACTAGACGGGGTGGAACATGACGGTGCGCCGCGGGTTAAGCTAGTATTTCACGGTGTGGTGGTTCGACTGCGTCTGGTATCAGCGCTGCTCCCGCCCCTCTGCAAGCCGGAAATAATCAGCGGATCATATTCCCTCGGCCCGCAAGACCGCATCAGCAGCGGCGGCCCACTAGGGCGAGGAGAGAAATAAACGAAGCAGCAAATAACGACCAGAATGATCTTTCAAAGCAACGGGAGGACCACGACAAGGCTTTTAGGTTTCCCAACCAGACTGCAGCTGCACAGTCATCTTGAAGATGACGACCGATGGTATCCTCGTTTACATGATGTTATCGCGGTTCGTTGATCTTCGACGCTCTGTTTTTATTATTCAGTTTTCGACCCGCTTCCACTCCCACTGCTGTAGTTTCGGCATAAAAATAGATCTTCTTCTTGTCAGCCCTCGACTTTGAAATGAAACGCAAACAACACAACGATCATCCGCTCATTGGAATTCTGAAACGCAAAACGAAATCCGACCTGCAGCAAGTTCTTTGAACTTACGGATGAAAAGCCCAATTTTATCTGGGCCACACGGCAACTCAGCATGGCAGCTGAATGCGGAGGAGCCAAGGAGGTGCTAAAAACGCAGCACCCACTCCACTGGGCGCCGGTGGTATGGTGGATCTGGGCCACGCGATTCAGC